CTTGACATCCTTATACCACTTCAAGGCCTGTTCTCTGCTGTTCAGAGGCTTTCACGTAGCTGCCTAAGAAAACCCTTCCCCTCCTGCCACCAATTTTCCTCTGGAACAACTGACGGATACATTCTGAATTTACAAGTCTCACTATAACGCTCTCGCAGGAGCAGGGACTAGACTATGAAACTCATTTCTGTAAGAGATGAAAGCAAGCATGGAACAAAAAGCTTTCCGAAGAAGTGGAAAACTCCTTTGACTTGGCTTTTCTTCAACATTTACTTCTTATAAGCAAACCAGAACCCTGTTGACCAGAACCTGAGAAGGAAGTTTATTTCTGTTTCTAAATGCTTGGAATGCACTACAAAGGATAAGGGCTGTTATAAATAGGGAATTCCAGGAGCCCCTTGGGCAAAAAATGTGACCTTTTTACAAGGAAATTCTCTTTTGATTGACAAAAATGCACCACCATGCACCCATTTTAGGGGGCAAACTCTTCCCAGCTCCCAACCTTTTTTTCAACCAAGTTCTATGAAAGTCTATGCACTATTTCATTTTGGGGGAGCCTTTTAAAGTACCAAGAGCCACTAGAATTGGATTCAGAGCTCCAGTATGAGTATTTGTTGGGTTTAGGATGAAATGAGTTGCTGCTTTGTACAAATTCAAAGAAATGTTCCGATACCTGGGCATAAGCATTCTTGACCTTTTCTTGCAAGATTGGCAGCTCATCTGCTGGTGTCTCAAAAAAAAAAAAAAAAAACCACACACCCACCTATAAACCATCTCATTGATGCATCAGACTTGGTGAAAGCAAAGAGCTAGGCTAGGATGCTCGCTGTGTTTCTGATAGGTTGGAAACTACAGTCTTCTAATATATTAGCGTTCACAAAAGTCGCAGGATCGATTTTCAAAGTAGAATACAGGAGTGTCAACATACTACTCTTGAGAATGTTTGTGCGCACCTTCTGTACATCACCTTAAACAATTTACTCTCGCAATGCTGCTTACCTTTTGGTGGGCGTTTCCCTGTCCTTGCGGTGAGCAGGCTTGCAATAAAGGCCTTGTAGTGGCCATTTTATGGACACAAACAATTCCTAACATTTTATTTGACACAATTGTCTGATTGTTATGCTATTACATGCTACTTTTGCTGATGGCCATTTGTTTAGAATCTAGCAAGAGGAATGTATTTTGCTCTCCAGCTCCAACTGTTATTCAAGAGACTTAAAGCTGTATTCAGGTATTAGTAACAGGAAAGACTCAGTGGTTCTATTTATAGAGTACAGCTATGAGTTTAATATAAAAACCTAGTCAGACCTAATTAGCGTAGCAGAAGAGAAACATACGCCATTTCCATTAGTTTCTATTTAGCTAAATTATAAATAACAGCAGCTGATGTTGTTGGGGGCTTTCAGTATTTCCACTTATGCTTAAAAATGAAGTAGTACTAGAAAGTACAAAAAGAAAGCGTTTAGAATCCTCAAAAAAATATCGGGGTCCAAGTTTTGGCCAATGGTTCTAGTTTTATGTGAATCACTTCCGATATTTTTGCCTCGATTGTGAATTTAGGCCTGGCTTTTGCCCCCGATCCACGAAGGCTTACCCTGTGCCCATACAAAATCTCTGAAGCCAACAGTGGGCTCCATGTAAGAGCAAGGGTCCTCCCATGCAGATCACATCCTTAGTTTGTATTAGCAAAAGATACATTTAAGGAAACATACATTTGGCCAATGAAAGACAGGAAAGGAATTTACATACGACACTTGTGCTGATTCTGGCTAATCCTGAATCTAGCCAGAAAAGCAATTAGAGTGAATATAGTGGCTGATCTTGCAGAGAAGAATACAACAAAGGTTTATTAGGGATGATAGCTAGAGAAGGCAATACTCACCTGAACCGATCTACACCTAAGAGACCGGATTTGTTTGAGACTTTATAATACAAAGTATCCCCAAATTAACTTTTCCATAACTGTTGCAGAAGTTACTTGACTACAACAAAAACATATCAAATTTGAAAGATTAGCAAATGATATAGTAGGGGAGTAAGTTGAAGGACATGCAGATACACTTGCCTTTACATTAGAAACCAGAGCTAAGTGTAAGGGTAATGTGTGTTCTGCTTCTATAGCTCTGGTATAAGAATTCTTCCAAGAAACTGCAAACATTTTCTCTTATTATTCAGCGTTCGTTATCAACACACCAACAATTATAGACAAATCTTCAAGAGCACTCAGCCACCAGAACCCCAGAACAATGGGAACTGCTGAATATTGCAAAATTTTGGAGTGGCCTGATTTTCCATTTAGAATAGAAGCTGTTGTATGCAGAGTTCTTTCAGAAATCTGTCTGGCAAGATCAGTCATTCTCTACAGTATTTTAATATGAAAAGGTTTCAAAGTTCCTCTGGAATGGAAACAATTTATTACTGAGTTGTTCAGAAAAGTTATATTGTATAATTATACTGTATTTCTATCTAAAAATAACTTTACAGGCTTTAGAGTTTATGTTCTTATATTTTCTAAAACAGCCAAACAAGAAAAATGAGGAAAACCACAACCATTTCTACTTACTTTATTATTAATGCAATTTTTAGAAATCCACATTGAAAGTAATACACCACATTTTCGGCTTCAAATTATTGTAAACTTAAAGTAATTCTACACATTTTCACATCCATATTGGCAAAAATGGCCAGATATTGGCCAATATTTCACAGTTGTACCATAGAGTGTCTCATACCCAATGTACCAAGTCTAGTACTATGAGGTGTTCAAACACTTGTTCACAAACTTAGTACCCCTTAGCGTTACCTGAATGTTTTAACATGTTGGAAGTACTGCAGTTACTGAGGTCTCTCTCATTGTTACCTGCCTGTTAATCAGATAACGAGTTGTTACTTTTAATGGCATCCCGTATAAGCCAAAATCATACATGTACTTAATATTCTGTTCAATGCTCCTATCATGTATTCCTGGAAAACAAATGGAGCCCCAATATTATAAGGCAAGAATCTGACACTGATTATTTTGTCCTTTGGGAGCACTAGATTCATAAGAGTTTTGCCTAGATTTCATGTGCTTGTTTCCATGTTGAAGTAGGCTGGTTTAGTTAACTGGCCTTGCATTTCAAGTCTTACCTGGATTCTGCCTAAAATCTAAGGTTTACTATAAAGTTGGATTCCTATCTCAGAAGAGACCTGAAGTAGCATCATGGCATTCTATCTGCAACTTTGATGCTGTATCATATGTTCTCAGTGCATAGGGGAGGCTCTTCTAGCTGCCAGCCCTATATACACATCAGACAGATTCAGTATTCTCTCAGCTGTGCTGGTTAGGACTAACAGGAAGAAAAGGCAGTAAAACATTTTCTGGTTACTAGAATGAGTACATCTCAGTATGAATGTACAGAAAAAAGCTTTGTTGAATAAGGTACCATGATTATCTCAAATTCAGAAATGTATCTTGCAACTGGAATTTTGTTTTCAGATTTTAGATCCATCCTGAGCTAGCGGGATAACTGGGATAATTAACCCACAGTCATTTTTTCCAGAGTTGAACTGCAGTCTGAGGAGAAATGTACATTTTCTCTCCCCCTTGCCATTTTCACATGGAGGTAACTGGTTTAATTTAGCTACTGAAATGCTTCAAAAAGTGCTCGCTATCAGACAAAATTTCAGCATGTGCAGTCTGGTGTTGACAGAAGACACAGAATAAAATAGTTTTGATGACAAAATGAATGATGGGCCACATGAAAGATACCACTCACAAAATGCAACAGCTTTCAAACACTAATTAAATCTTCTAGAATTAAGAGACGTTCACTAAGACAATAGCTGCTAGAGATGAGTTACCAAAGTAGCATGCAACATACACAATGAACAGAAAGAGGCATGGATGGTCAATTAGCGCACAACTTACAAGACAAGTCCTCTTACTTGTTACCACCAGCAAGTACTGCTCCACCAATGCTAGTACCAGCATGTGTGGTGAAACAGACCGGGCACCAGTATTTTTATTACCACATGGTAAGACCTGGACTAATCTAAACAAGGTTACCTAGAGGACAGAAGTATGAACACAAATAGCAACAGTACTGGTGCCAAAACTGGCATTGGTAGAAGCAAAATGACGGAACTTTTTTAAAAAAAAATCAGAATGACATGAATGTAGGAGGGTGTAAAATCTATGTATTTATCCTACAACCAGGGAAAAGGTTAAAGTGTTAACCATTTGGGGTTGGAAAAATGGGTATTAGCTGCAACATGTAATTCTCTGAGTTCATTTCACAATGATGGTCTACCTTAGAAAGCAGGAGATGATGATGTTAAATATTTGGGATAAGATGCCATACTGGAACACATCCAGCCACGGTGAAATGAAAATGGAAGAAATACTAAAAATCACATGCTTCATTAACAATGCACATTAACAAATGCACATTAACAATTTAATAGCAGTGATATTATATTACTGTCTGATTTACTGCCTAACAAACAGCAAACATATAAATAAAAAATTTTCAAGTGACATAGTTCCAAAGTAGGTTAGCTGGATAAATGTTAGTACTGAAAATTTTCTATTTGATACCTGTAATAGCTTTACAAAAAAAAAAAAAAAGTGCAAGAGTATACACTTTTATTTTGGAAAGCAGAAAATATGAAAAATATTCTCTCATTAGTTTGAGACTAAATAGAATCAAGATCAGTGCAACATGAATTATAATAGTAATTCACGTATTTTTCTAGGGAACAAATGCCTTGTGTTTTGGGCACGATTCCACAGTTTTGCTGTGCAAACTATTTACAGAGTTACTTTTTTTAATTCACATAATGTGAATTTTTTTTTAAATGTTGTTATAACTCCATTGCTCAGATGAACAAGACAACAAAAGTGTTCATACTGTCCTACTGTGTATAACTAGCCATTGTATTCAGCTGAAAAATAATGAATCAAATTATATGCAAAAATAAATGCTAAAGAAAGTACAGTCAAATTGATTGTCTCTTTGTTACTAACTTCTGGAGGGGGGGGGTTATATAGTTTTTTCATAAATATAAAAATTTCTCATTTAGTAAAGTCATCATCACTATAAAAATCTCTTCTTTAGTGCCATTTAGCTGAAAAACATCTACCATGATACACACAATCCCAATATCTGAATTGCAATTTAAAAATATACTTTAAAGGCTAACTACATTACAGTAATACACAAAGCTTATCATTGCTGCCAGTCTGTTGTCCCATGCATTTCCTGACCTACCATTTTCTTTTTCCCATCATTTGAAATATAAATGTTTTAAAGTGTTATGGGCACGTGTAACAAGAGACATTTTTCCCCATCACTTATTCGGTTTTCTTTGCCTGTCTTTTCTTAATGCTTTCACTGGCCTCTCCAGCAGCAGAGTCACAGCCTGAAGAAGTTCCATTGGAAGATACTCTGGCCTCACTCTTTACTTTAGATGGAGTTTGTTGCCAACCAAAGAGCATTTGGCCCAGCACAGCCTCAAAAGGAGCAAATGGAGAAATTGCAGATTGTGTCAGCATCATAGTTACCTATAAAGAAAGCAGTCACATTTAAGTTAGAAAGTCGTCACTCCCCAAATAAAGACTACTTAACAACAACGTCGTACAGGCTGCTCTGCTACAAAAATATGCACTGAAATACCTACCCTGGTTTGAATTCTTATTTCAGCACAAGTCTGTCGGTGGACACTCCTCTAAAAGAAGCATTCTACTTCAATTTTATATTAAATTCACATCTGCTAAATCACACAGACCTGCACTGAAATAACAAAAGATATAAATAAAACTTATGTACTCTGATGGAAATCTGTGTAGACCATCTCTAAGCTTTCAGCACTGTATTCTATAAATCCCTAATTTGAAAACAGTTGTATTTCACATGTAATATAGGGCATTTCTAGCCGCCGGTGCAAATCTTTGTCTAAAATAACTGCATTTCAACTAGTAATACCAGTAAACAGTACTGAAATGCAACATGTTGAAAAAAGCAAACATCACTCTGGGATGTATTAGCAGCAGAAGTGTTATAAGCAAGACATGAGAAGTACCGTATTTTAGCGCATATAACCCACAGGTTATATGCGTTTTTACAAACCCCGCGCACATACCCCTCCTGCAGGGTATATTCAGGTGCAGGGTATATAGGTGGTGTGTGGTGGTGGTGGTGGTGTTTTTTTTTTTTGTTTTTTTTTAAAAACACACCAGCGATTCTCTGGGGGAGAAGAACGGGGGTGGGGGGGATGCTCCCCCCCCCCCCGGAGGATGGTGGTTCCTGCTCCCCCGCCCCTTCCTGTGGCTGCGGAGGAACCAGGGGGGTGGGCCCTCCCGCCCCTCCCCCCCCAGAGGCTGCGCAGGAACCGGGGCGGTGAATAGCTGGCTAATCCCCCCCTCTCCCACACCGTAAATTAGCAAATATACCCCCGGCACAGAAAAGTCTTGTATACCCCGCGGGTTATACTCGTGCGCAGAGTATACAAGATTTTTTTTACTCAAACAGCAAACATCGTGGGGTATATTCGGGTGCAGGGTATATTCGCTAAAATGCGGTAATTCTTCCGCTCTACTCTGCAACTTGAGTAATGCATGCAATTCTGAGCACCGTATTTCAGGAAAGATGTGGACAAACTAGAGAAAGTCCAGAAAACAACGAAAGTTCTATTCATAACTTATGAGAAAAGATTGAAAAAAATGGGTTTGTTCAGTCCAGAGAAGACAAGGCAGAGAGGGAACACGATAATAGTTTTCAAATACATAAAAAGTTATTACAAGGAGAAGGGAGATTGCTCTCCTTAACCTCTAAGAATAGAACAAGAAGCAATGGGCTTAAATTGCAGCAAGGGCAGTTCAGGTCGGACGTTAGGAAAAGCTCGCTAATTGCCAGTAATAAATTGTCTAGGAAGGTTGTGGAATCTCCATCACTGGAGATTTGTAAGAGCAGGTTAGACAGACACCTCTCAGGGATAGTCTAGACAATATTTAGTCCTGTCGAGTGTGCAGGGGACTGGTCTAGATGACCTCTCAAGGTCCCTTCCAGTCCTATGATTCCATTTCACCTTAGACTGAAAAACACTGATTAATCCTAAACATACACATAGAAAATAAACTAAGCATAATAAATGCATGAAGAGTAATATGATAAGAAAGATGAAACAATCTCCCTGAAGACAGAGGAAAAAGTCAGTGCCCTAGTAGGCTTCCCTGTACAATTTTCTGTGCATTGCAAGAATTATTTCACTTACAGTAATTTAAAACCAAAATCTGTACAAAAGCCTTGCTATATTAAAAGCCATTATGGAGAGATGCTTTTAGCCATAACTAGCAATACAGAATTAGTCAGTCACCTGTAGCCTTTCTCCAATTATGGGTCCAATCCTGGAAAACCTTACACTCAGAGAAGACTGCTCACTGAATTAAGGCTTTGCTAGGTCAGACCCTAATTAAAAGTCTAAGGAGATCCACACTTCTAGTTCTCTTCGGACTTTAGTACATCTCCAGAATACTACCTCAGCCCTGCCAAACATTCCAGGCTATTCTGCCTAAGTAAACAAGCATTTTGTAGCCTATTCGGTTTAGATGTGTGACCACATCCTAAGGTTCAGCTCCCAAAACAGGCACCGCCAGAGGCGGTGTGGAATGAGGCTACGCTGGTTCTGTACTACTGAAGACTCAAGGCACTGAGGTAAATCCTCAGCAGGAGGCCTGCTTCTGAAATCCACTCCCTTTGCACTACTAAGCAGATCAAAGGAAAGAAGGAATCTGCTCTAGCGTGGTGTTTTGTGGTCCCATGACCTTGAATTTCCCCCAAGCTGTAAAGACCGGACATCGCTAATTGAGGGAGCATATATCCTACAATACACCTGCGTTAAAACAAACTTAGTGGGAGAATTTCCTCCTGGACCAGGGGAAAAGAGCCTGTTTAATAAACCAAATCAGGGATGTAAATGGGGGGGGGGGGGGGGGGCAGCTGCCCTGGGGCCCCATGATTTAAAAAGTCCTGGGGCTACCAGCTGCTGTTGTGCTACCTTAGCAGTAGCAGAGGCCAGAGCCCCAAGTCCTCTAAATCACTGCTGGAACAGCCAGGGGCACAGGCCAGGCAGTGCTGAAGGGCTGGCTGGGGAAGGTAAGCCCCCAAATCCTGTCTCTTGTGAGGGTCCAGAGCCCCACCCCACCCACCCACACATGCCCAGGAGGCTAGCAATTCTGTCAGCAGCCCTGGGCCTAGTTTTGGTACTTAACCCTATACTAAATACCAGAGTGGTACATTGGTTCTGAGAGAGGTTTCAGAAGAGTCTGGGAAGCAAAACACAACTTCGTAAGTCTGCATGCCACACCCATGCCAGACCAGCATGAACTGTGACTCTCTAGTGTTACAGATACTAGCTGACCTCAAGCTCCTAACAAGTCACAAATGCAGAACTGGTACCACGAAGTTGTAGGTCACTGTACTATGGGCTTTAGCAGTACAGGGAGGCTCAGACTCGAGTCTCCCCCCCCCCCTTCCCATACTGATCTCCTCATACCACATCACTGGTATCCTGAGTGCCTCTAATGTTTAGGTGGTTTAAGAAAGTAAGTCTGGAGCACTAACAATTATTTATATTACCATAGCACCCAAGAAACCTAAAATCTTAGATTTTAAAAATGCAATGTTTCCAGGTATGCCCTGTTGGAGGCAGGCCGTTCTTTTTAAACTATCCTTCGGTTCACCCACTGTTTTAACGTCTCCTCGAGAACAGAGTGGCAACCCTCGAGACTGTTACAGCTCAAATTCTGAGCTCGCAATTGTGTCTTTTTTGGGGTTAAAACAGTCCTGAATATAGCCCAGCGTCCTGGGAGGAGACTAATGCAGAACATGAGAAATTCGAGATCAACCATAAGTAGTATCAAAGGGGTAGCTTTGTTAGTCTATATCTGCAAAAACAACGAGGAGTTCTGTGGCACCTTAGACTAACAGGTTTATTTGGGCATCAGGTTTTCACAGGCAAAGAGCCACTTTTTAGATACATAGGAGTGGAAATTACAGAGGCTTCTAATTTCCACTCCAATGCATCATGAACATTTATGCCCAAATAAATCTGTTAGTCTTGAAGATGTCACACGACTATAAAAAGAAGATTTAAGAGAAGAACAATAAATGTGTGTATATCTCACGTGTACTCGTGAATGTGTGTGGATATACACATCCACACTCTTTATAAACAAAAAGATAATAAACACTATTCATATTATTTTTCTCTTCTCCTTCACTGTTATTTCGTAGATAGATGAAAGATGTATCCAAAAATACTAACTTTTGAACAACAGCATGAAGACAGAGTGTTTTATTCACATACAAAAAATTATTTGGTGACTAGAAACACTTGGCCTTTGGCTGCAGTTCTTTTTTGCTCCACATGTATTAACAGACTGGCAAGACAACCAGTTGTATTTTAGCGGTCTGTCTCTGATGTAATTTAGTAGCTTGAAATATCAACTCCCAGTGCCAATTTTTTTAAATAGTCTTTTAAACGCAACTAGCTAAGGCCACAATGCAAAGAACTTGTTGTTGGTCTGCTTTCGCATATGGAAGAATAACTTAAGGCTCACAAATGTCAGCTCCTCCACTGGTATTGAGGTAGCTTCACTGACTTCAATTCAGTTATGCCATTTTCATCAATGGAGTTTGAGTGGATCTCTCCAGAAATAGAAAACTGAAATGAATATTCTTACAGGATATAAGGAGAGAGACAGAGAGAGAGACATTCAACAATGTGCATCTTGCTTTAGAAAGAACGGAGAAATATTGCATGTGTTTAAATAATGAGACAGTTCCAAATTCTTACCTTTGTGACCACTAGAAAGGTGGTGTAAAAGAACATAAGGTTGTGTCTCGCTATCGGCAGGTTCTGGGCATGTTGCAACGTGAAGAGCACTGCACCTACCAGAGTCACTTTTACAGGGCTGGAAACCAAAGTAAAGACAAGTTTGTGAGTTCTCTCTTCTCCACCTTCTCTGCTGACAGAAATTATCTGAAAATTGATAGCATATAATAGGAACTATAATGTTTGCTTGGCTGAAAGTAAATGATAAAAAGCTTGTGGTAACAATACAGTAATGTGTGTCAGGCTAATTTTTGTTAAGAATCCTTCCATCCGTTTTTAGTTTGCAGGCTTTCAATTTCTTAGATTTCTTTGTTCCTGAATTTAAAGAAGAAACATCCAATTTGCCTTTTCCATACCATTATTTAATTTCTAAATCTTACATATCTCTTTATTAATCGCCTCTAAACCAAGCTGCCCCAATATTTTCATTCAGTCTTTTTACGGAAGTTTTTGCCATGCCTCTAATCATCGTGAGAGACTTTCTTCCATTTTTACCTTAATTATACTGTAGTCACTACTACTTAGTGATTCAACTTATTACTTCAGTCATCTCCTATGTATTACTTGGGACTGAGTTAAGAATAAACTCTCTCCATTCTGTGCTCTAGAACAATTTGTTTTAAGAACCAATCATTTAAGGTATCAAGAAACTGCTTGTCTAAAAACTTAGGCCACTGCAACATTTGACCGCTTGATAGGAGGCTGGATACATCCATGATTACTGTTTATTAGACTCTGTCCCCTCTGTTCACTTTCAACTTTGTGCATTCATTTTTTCCCTGATCAGGAGTCTAGTAGTATTTATATTCTTATGACTGGAGATTTGACAAGTTCCATTTCTTAATCACACCTTTCACTAGATTCATGCTTTTAGGATTTTTTTTTAAATCACAACTTTCATTTGATTATAAAGCTAAACGCATGAATCTAAGAAAAACATTTGGGAGAAAATTATCAAGAGAATTTTTAATCAAAGTAATTTCAGGATGTGAGGACAGTGATCGGGGCCCAATACCGCTCTGTTCTGACATATTGCAATATCACAATTTTTAAACATTTAAAACTCATTCTTCCTTCAGCTAGCACATTTTTTTTAAACCAAGAAAGTGAATGCCGTGTTTTAAACTGGCAGAAATTGCTTGTTTCACTAAGTTTGAAGTATTTAGGTCACCAGAGAGCAGTTGATACTATAAGCCTCACAATCCTTCCTTTTGGAAATAGTACAGCTCATAATTTTTGTATTTCTTTTCTGTCATTCTTTATTACCCAAGACAGTGACATGAAACCAGCATCCCTAAATGTTTATCTGCTCCTGCTGCTTTTATAACATCAACAGTCATAACCCTGTTTTTGAAATAATCATTTTCACAGAAGCCAGCTGGGAAGTCACATGGGAGGGCAAAGGGGATTTTAGATGCCCACTATGAGCTTGTCTCCCTTTACAGCAGTAGTTTGTGGCCTGCCAGCCAGGTCCAATTCTCTTTTGCAGAAGCTAAACTGGGTACTGTGTAACACTCCCAATTTAGCTTCTGCAAGACAAAGAAACTGAAAGCTGAAACTCAAGTAGCATCTCCCATCTTGCAATGCACCAGAGCCATGTGTTGATGTGTTTTAATGCTATATATTTAACAGATGGCTTGCATGTGTGTTCAGAAGAGTGCAACTGCTTTTTTCTTTAAGGGTGTAAGTAAGTGTTTGAGGAACATATTCACCAGAATGACTCGACTTACCTTCACAATATGTCCCAGCACATGCAGGAATGTACGTTTCACTCGCATTACCTTGCCACAATATGCTTCATTTCTGACATGCAGGAACCACATCTTGAGGAAAGGAGGTTAATTTTTCTTGCCCGTTCAACTAATTGCCCTCTCTGCCAACTTATTTACCAATATGAGTTCCACTTCCGTGGAATTTTGTAGGGGAGACAATTATTCACAAGGAAAATTATTTGAGACTAACCACTCCTGTAACACAGGGCAGGCAGCCACCACATAGATAAGATCTGGACCCACTTCGAATGTATGAGTGGTATCCGAGCACCTGTTTTTAAATGGTGCACAAAGAAAATTACTCACGTAGGACTTTGAGGGTGAAAGCCAAAGAGAACGAAGTTACTGGAAATAATTCCAGTTGCACTGTGCTTTACACAAACTTACTAGGACATCTTCAGAAGTTCGTTGCTTTCAGGTTTCCAAACACCTCTCACCAACTGCTCGACGTTTGAGATTAAGCCACCACCAGCTCCTGAAAATTCAATACATGATTACATGTCTCAGTGGTATATATGGTCTCTTAGTGACTTACAGTCCCCATGGTCTCCTCCTCAATGGTACATAATCTGACTCCTGAACTACAGTTGTGAATACTGTCTGAACTCTCAGTAGCGACTAATGACACGGCTGACCGACGTCCAACACTTCAAAGAGATGGATTGCCAAGCTTCCACCATCTCAAAGTCAGGTCCCTGTTAAGGTGCCTCAAGCTGGCATTTGTCACTGTAAGCACTGTATTGTTATTTAATGGGAGAAAGACATTGAGTGAGGGAGATAGTGTAAGGAGGAGGGTTTTATGTTTATTAAAAACTGGGCAACCTTTCTGGAAAGGAAAAACCTATACAGGAAGGATGGGCCCCACCCAAGCCAAAACAGAACCAGATTGCTGGCATGTGAAATTAAACAGGTTGTGGAGGAGTTTTTAAACTAAGGCCCGGAGGGAAAGCCCGACAGGTGTGGAGGAGCACGTGGGCCAGACTATTAGTAGGCAAAGCTCTGTTAACAAGGATTCTCTATCCTAGTAAAGAGTAGAGGGCAGAAGTTGAGAAAGCAATGGTGCAGGAATAATTTTTAGGGTAAGGGTGCTGAGCTCCCCCCACTTTACTCAGTCTGTGCCCCTCACCACACCAGGCTGGAGCCACATCTGGAGGCAGCTGTGGAGCCCCCAGGTGCGGGACTGAGGGTCGAGGCTCCAAGGCCTGCAGTGGGGCCAGCAGCCAGGACCCCCAGATGCAGCAGGACCAGCGGCCAGGACCCCAGGCAGCAGCGAGGACCCCTGGGTGCAGGCTGATGGCTGGGACGCTTGTATTGGGAGCTGCAGTTCCCACACTCCCCCACACCCATACTTCTTATGTGGGTAGGTGAGAAACTACAGGCAGGAATGGAAAAGAAGCAGTTAACTGAATGAGTCCCATTCAATGGCATTATATAATGGCAGACCAAAAAAAAAAAAAAAAGACAAATTTTGCAAATACTTGGATACAAATGCTAGAAGTCTAAATACTGCACCAGGTGAACCTGAGTGCAAGGTATTCAGTGAGGATATTGATATAATAGGTACCGTAGAAACATGGTGAAACAACAGAAATTACTGAGACACGGTAATATCAAGGTACAAAACACAGAGAAATGGAATGCTGGCCATGCAGGTGAGGGAATAGCACTCTCTAGAAAGCAAGCATAGACTCAAATGTAGTAAAAATCTAAACTCAGACCATACCATACACTCTCTAGGGATACAAATGTCATGCTTGACTAATTATAACCTCCTCCTACTACTACTTCTTGATCAGGAAGGCGACAGTGACTGTGAAGTGCTCAGGGAGATTAGAGGCTGTAAGAATACAAACTTCAGTACAGGTTGGACCTGCCTGGTCTGGCACCCTCAGGACTTGACTGGTCCTGGATGAGGGATTTTGTCAGACATGGGGAAGTCGTTTCTGGCCTCCCTGCTGCCAGCCCTAACCCTTGCCCTGCCGCCACCACCAGGCTTCCTGGTTTTCCCGGGCAGCCCAGGTGGGTTGCGTATCAGGCTTTCTGCCCCACCTCACCCCTCCCACTACACATCTTAC